ACGGAGCATCCAACCGGCATGGTGCAGGACTTGGCATAGTCCTCATCTCACCAAACGGCCTGGTTATGGAGCAAGCGGTCAACCTTGGTTTCCCAACATCAAACAACAAAAACAAGGTAGGTTTGAGTAAGCTTACCAGGACAAGAAAAGATGAGAGAAATGGCAGCACAACCATGAAGCTTCTTCGAAAACAGATTGTAGAACTCAGCAAGTTCAGAAGCTCAGGAACGAGAGGGAGAGAAAAGGAAGTGAATAAGTACAGTGCTTTGATCCAAAATGAAGAGTTTTTTTGATACAATGGGACAAAGGCGGGAACTGTTCAAATTACGCGAGGTACGAGGGCGGCGTGACAACTGCCTTTAGCTAATCAAAGCGTGCCACGTGTCATTGAAATAAGAATCGATTCAGTTGCTGTGATTGAAGGGACGTTTTGACCGGACAAGCTGAGCCCGGTATGGAATTTAGTTCGGCGGAAGAGCTTAAGAGTTTTTTACTCGGCTGGAAGGACTAAAAGGGTTTAGTTCAGCTAAAAAGGCATAAACTTTTTTTTAGCTCGGCTGAGTACTGGTAATCCCTATCATGCTGCGCAGATGGAATTAAGGGACAATTGAGAGGGTAATTTATATGAAAATTGGGCCGAGCTGAGTAATAGGCCGTTATGGGCCACAGTGCGAAGGGCTGAGTAAAAAGGCCATGAAGTTACTTCGGCCCAAGAGAGGTGTAAAGTTACTCTGGCCCAAGAGAGGTGTAAAGTTACTCCGGTCCCAAGGAGGTTAGCTCGGTCACCATACTAAAACTTATACCGGTTATGGCGCAGTATGGTTAGCTCAGTCTAAACCTTGCTAAAAGTTAGCTCGGTTTAGACCTACCACGGTTTGTACAGGAGGAACTGAGGTAAGGGCAGTAAAAGGACGAACCGAACTAAGGATAGTTCGGTCTATTCTACAGCTAAGCATAGCCATGCGTACCTCGGCCACATTGGAGTCCGACCATGGTAAAACCATCTCACTTGGTTTAAACAGTGAGGGGGGTGTTGAAGGATAGGCACTATCTTTCAGGAGTATGAATCCTAGGAGGACTCTACATGAAGGAGTAAGAGTCCTACTTGGATTGTGCCACACGGAACCTATAAAAGCTCACCAATATCACCTATGGAGAGATAGCACAACTTTGATTCTCGAATACACAGAGCTTTTGTCTATTGGTCTATTTTGCTGACTTAGGCATCGGAGAGGTATCCGGCACACACCTGCCGGCTAGCTCACGTTTGTGTTTTCAAGAAGTAAAGCGACATCGTACGGAGGAGCACGAACTTGATCAACAGGATTATACGAGAAGGTTTATTTCTTTCCCGTACACCAGACAATTGACAGTTTGGTTAAGGAAGGGGATATGAGTGCAATATATTTAGTTAAATCTGCAGTCGACAAATATTTTTAAGTAAAAGAGTTGACTATGAAACTAAACTATGCCTAAATCTAATTGGGTGAATTATAATACACTTCCTGAGGCTTATTTATAATACGGATTGTCCTCTGTAATTTTAAAAATTATAAATATTTTATTATTACAATTTTTTATTTAACAAAATTAATAGAAAAATAAAAATTTTAACTGTTCTCCAATCCAAATAAAATTAACTAAATTGTTAATTTGAATATATTTATGACATTATTAAAAACTGTTAATTAACTTCATAATTTATTAATAAAAGGGTCATTTATTATGCGATTAGAAAGCTGAAGAGACATGATGTAATTTTTAAAACTACAAAAGATAATTTATATTTGAAGCAAAATTTAAAGGGTTCATTTGTAATTTACCCAATCTTGTTTTATGTCTTGTTCGAACCTTGAACATAGCCTCGTAATTAGAGGTGGCAAAAGGGCGGGTATAAGCGGGTTAAAATAGGTTATGCATTTAAAGCAATCTAACCAAACCCATTCATTTAATAAATGGGCTCAAACATGTTGAGTTAAATTAGATACGGGTTAGACGAATGAATCCAACAAACTCATTTACTTCCATGCTTTTATTTTTCTATTTTTCTTTTTAAAAAAAATATTTTAAGAGAAAATTATTAAAAAGTCCAATCTAAAGAGGGTATAAAGCATTAAGTCTAGTGAATATCTTTTGTTGGTGAGAGATCCACAATTTATGAAATAATTTGATGAGAAATCTTTTTATTGTTTTGGAAGACATTTTATTTCCAATTTTACCCCTTATCTATCTATTTAATTTTTTTTGACTATTTTTTCAAATAGTTTTTTATCTGTTTAATTTTTTGAATATTTGTTCAATTTTTTGCCCTTATCTGTTCAAATACATGTCCACATTTTATTATCTGTTAAGATTATCTTTTCAAAAAATTCTATTGGTTGAAATTCCTATCGGTTGAGATTTTATTTGTTCAAATTATCTTTTTAAAAAAAATTCTTTCTGTTGAAATTATTTGTTAAAAAATTTATCTGTTCAAATTCTCCCTATCTCTCTTCCTAATATCTATACAAATAAAATTCAAATTCAACAACAACAACAACAACATTTTTTTTTATCTGTTCACTGATTAAAGAACACAAGACCAATTGAAAACTATTTGTTCACTTCAAACATATCTGTGTTTGTGATATGTTCAATATCATCTTCTTCATAGCACAAACAAAAACAAAAGAAAAAAAAATTAAACATATATAATTACAACAACAACAACAACCAAGATAAAAAAAAAAATAACAAAAAAATTAATTATATGATAAAAAAAATTTTGATAGTTATTCATCCATTGTAACAAGTCTGAGTCCATAACAAATTTTGAACAATCCATTTTAATAGATCTGGGTCACTCAAGATCAAAAGCTCCAATTTTGAACATCCATTTAAAAATATCAGATCTTAGTTAACCCATATCAAAATATTAGATCTTAGTCTTAGATCAAAATATTAGACTTATACAAACAAACAAATTTGTGCTATGTACCATCAAACCCTAGATTTCTCACCATGAAATCATTTTTCTAATCTTGTGTATTGGACTCAAATAAAGAATACTTGAATGTTCTTTATTATTTGCAAACCTAATATTTCTCACCATGAAATAAGAAAATTATTTGAAAGGAATGAGAGAGAGAGAGAGAGAGAGAGATAGAGAGTGTTTGACTTCATTTTTATACTTTTGTTGTGTGTTGCACGCTCTCTTTTCAATAGATAACAATGATGTGGTCAGCGGCAGTGGACGACAGTGGACAGTAGATGGTGGACGACAATGGACAGTAGATGGTGGACGACAGATAAGGACAACGAAAGAGGAGGGTGTGAGGTTTGAGATTTGAGAAGACTGAGAGAGAGAGAGAGAGAGAGAGAGAGAGAGGGATTCTATGGTATGGTTAGTGGCAACGGATGACGACGGAGGAAGAGGGTGTAAGAACTGAGATCTGAGAGGATTGAGAGGCGGTGGTTCACAGATGTTATATTTTAAAGAGATAGAGAGGAATAGTTATAGAGAGATGGGATACAATATATATATATATATATACACAGGTATTTTGGTCATTTCGTCTAGACATGTCTTTATTGCCAAAGTATTTTAGAGTGCACTTTTGGCCAAACAAAATTAAAATTTGGATTTATAGATCAAGTGCCCTTATTTTAAACAAATTACTTTTTTTTTATTTAAAAAAATTACTTATTTTTTTTAAATATATTATTTTTTTATGACGACGAAGGGGGTGTCGAAGCACAAGTGGTGGTGGTAGAGTAGTGGCGGTGGTGGAGTGGCGACGATAGTGATGGTGATGGTGGTGGTGTGGTGGCGGTAGTAGTGGAGGAGGAGGTGGAGTTGGTGGTGTGTCGACGGCGTTGGTGGAGTGGTAGTTGTAACGCCTCAATTTTCATACCCAAATGATAATACAACAATCATGGCTCTTCAAGGTAAATCTAGAAAAAATCTCCAAACTTACATTACATGATACAATAGTTCTTCATGCAACAATACATTAATCCAACAAAAAATAAATAAACAAATAAATACCCCCAAGGGTTTACAAGTTTCCAAGGCTTAACAAACAAATTTGTGCTATGTACCATCAAACCCTAGATTTCTCACCATGAAATCATTTTTCTAATCTTGTGTATTGGACTCAAATAAAGAATACTTGAATGTTCTTTATTATTTGCAAACCTAAGATTTCTCACCATGAAATAAGAAAATTATTTGAAAGGAATGAGAGAGAGAGAGAGAGTGATAGAGAGTGTTTGACTTCATTTTTATACTTTTGTTGTGTGTTGCACACTCTCTTTTCAATAGATAACAACGATGTGGTCAGCGGCAGTGGACAACAGTGGACAGTAGATGGTGGACGACAGATAAGGACAACGAAAGAGGAGGGTGTGAGGTCTGAGATTTGAGAAGACTGAGAGAGAGAGAGAGAGAGATTCTATGGTGTGGTTAGTGGCAACGGATGACGAAGGAGGAAGAGGGTGTAAGAACTGAGAGGATTGAGAGGCAGTGGTTCACAGATGTTATATTTTAGAGAGAGAGAGAGAGAGAGAGAGAGAGAAATGAATAGTTGTAGAGAGATGGGATACTATATATATATATACATATACACACGGGTATTTTGGTCATTTCGTCTAGACATGTCTTTATTGCCAAAGTATTTTAGAGTGCACTTTTGGCCAAACAAAATTAAAATTTGGATTTATAGATCAAGTGCCCTTATTTTAAACAAATTACTTTTTTTTATTTAAAAAATTTACTTATTTTTTTAAAATAAATTATTTTTTTATGACGATGAAGGGGGTGTCGAAGCACAAGTGGTGGTGGTAGAGTAGTGGCGGTGGTGGAGTGGCGACGATAGTGATAGTGATAGTGATGGTGGTGGTGTGGTGGCGGTAGTAGTGGAGGAGGAGGTGGTGTTGGTGGTGTGTCGACGGCGTTGGTGGAGTGGTAGTTGTAACGCCTCAATTTTCTTACCCAAATGATAATACAACAATCATGGCTCTTCAAGGTAAATCTGGAAATAAATCTCCACACTTGCATTACATGATACAAATAGTCTTCATGCGATAACACATTCACTTCAAATCAAATAACATAAACAAATAAATACCCTCATGGGTTTACAAGTTCCCAAGGCTTCGGCCCGGTTACACAAATTGGTTATTCAAACCACACAAATATTGCCCTTGGCTTACAAAACAGAGTCACGCAAAATGAGAGCATTGTGCTCCCAACACACACACTTCCACGCCCTTAGTTGGGCGGATTCACCACGTCTTTTCCTGCACAAAATCCCATAGGGTGGGCATAAAACCCAGTAGAGAATTCTTAATAAAGTACATACATTTTACACAAGTTTCAAGAGATGAATGCATATGCCATGTCATGCCCTTTTGAAAATAAAACACATCTTCATTTATTTGAAAACTATCATGCTTAATGATGCCATGCAATTTCAACTGTTCAACATTTATCAATTTTGTTCAAGGGGTGGTAAATACAACTCTGGTAATCCCTAGGTACGTGTCTGCAAGTAGCCTATACAAGTACTACCAATTTGTTATTTTTACCGATATTAACTGGAAGGCTCGACACCTATCCGCACGAGTTTTCGGTCTTTCACCTCGGACACTTAGGCCAACTTATAAATTTCGTCTACACCACCTTTCAAGACTTACCATCGTACTAACCCCAAAATCATTTCATGAAAACCCGTTTTCTAATATTCTTTTCTCAATGCCAGGTTTTCAAATCAACGTTCAAAGCTCAACATAATCAAATGAATTGGTATGCCCATGAAATGATTAAATGTAATACAACGTTTCTTCCATTTTCAATACTTCCGCACAATAATTCCATTGTGAACAAATCTTCCATTTCTCTTTTCAAAACAATAATATCACAAGATGAACATATAAACTTTGATTTCCAATCCATCCAAGAAATAACATAATTTCCACATTTAGGGCATTTTCAATAATTTAGTCATTTCAAGACTGCAACAACATTCTAAATAACAACTTCAAATATCAAACTCTTCATATTTCATGAAACTCATCATTTGTATAATACAAATCAAGCTTTTCCAAAACATTCCTTCATTTTAACCTCCAACGAAAATATGGCTATTTTATTTATAAAATCTCAGCATCTTTTTATAACTCAAACTTCTAGGCTTTCTCACCAAAACAAACCATCTCCAAGATACTTGAAGAAATCTCCCCAAAACAACTTCCATCAACCATTATAGTTCAAAACCATAAATTTCTATTTTTAGAAGGAAAAAGAAAGTAAACCCACTTTCAACATCACTCATCTTCTTGGATCGAAAATCAATTTTCAAAACAAATCAAAGGATGATTTCAAAAATCATCTAGATCTTGCAAATATATATATATATATATATAACTCAAATAAAATCCCTACCTCAAGTTTGAAGAAGAAACGAGTTGAAACTCCAAAATCAACAATGCCTAAACTCGATCTTTACCGCACACAACAAAGCCCTCAAGATGATTACCAACTTTGATGAAGAAACAATGGCAAAACTCTAATGGATCTTGAGAAATCAAGGTTTTTGATCTAGTTTCTATAGAGAAGTGTAGAGAAATGTAGAGAAATGTAGAGAGAAGGGAGAGGAAATGTTTTTAGAGAGAAAGAGATACAACAAGAATGAGATACACTCAGCCTAAAGAGAGAAAAGAAGCAAAAATTTCGGATCTACCTACCACTGCACCTCGCTTCCGCACTTGCCTTTTTAGCAGTGTACAAGCTGCTCTCCCCTGAAATCCCTACGTGCGGCTTGCCCTCCTGCTCGATCCCCGCCCTACTCAGTGAAGTGGCAAAACATGAAAGAATTAACTTCTGATACAACTCTGCAAGGTACAATTCGGGTTGGATTCGCATCTAAAGGTTTGGAGGCATTACCTGTTCCAAACACACCGCTACAACTCGATAACCAAAATAAGAGAAATACAAGGAAACTAAGATACGTAACACCGTTCAAAACCATACCAACCCGAGCCGGAACACTACAAAGAGACGGGTCAAAATAGGGATCGCTACAGTAGTAGTGGTAATGGTGGTGATGGTGGTGGATTGGTAGTGGTAGAGGGGCGGTGGTGCGTCGGTAGCGGCGGCGGTAGTGGTGTGGTGGTAGTGGAGGATGAAGAGATGGTGGTCATGGTAGTGGTGGTGGTAGTGAAGAAATAGAGGTAGCGGTGGAGTAGTAGTGTAGAAGAGGTGGTGATGGAGTGGCGAGGGTGATAGAGTGGGGGTGGGGGTCGTGTGTCAGCGTTGGTGGTGGCGGCGACGGATTAACGATGGAGCGTTGGTGGCGGCGGCGGCGACGGATTAATGGTGGTAGTAAAGAGGGTGGTGGTGGTGGTGGTGATGCTAGTGAAGTGGCGGTAGTGGAGGTGGATTGGTGGTAGAAGTGGTGCCCATTTAGATCGACTTAAATGGGTACCCATGTCCAACCCATGTAAACCCAATTTTAATTGGATTGACAATGAGCAACCCGTTTAAGCTTATTTATTGATTGAGTAGGTCTATATAAGTTTTAAATAAGTATAATTAGATAGGCTCATCATGGGTTTGGGTTGAGTTTCCTATATCTACTTGTAATCAATACTCATATTTGAGTGGGTGGTTCTATTTGCATCCAAAAAATTATTCAATATGTTATATTTGAGTGAGTGATTCTATTTGCACTTAAAAAATTGTTTAGTATGCCCAATTTCTTTGTACTCTCTATCAAATTATTTAGGATAATAATTTACTCTCAGTACACTATATTTTTTTCACAAATTATCCTTCAGGATGATATAATAATTCGTGATACACTCAAATAATAAACAAATCAATTCAAAAAAGACTTCCTCCCTTTCTTCATCTCTTCTGAGCTATGGTACTCCTCCACTCTCATCAATGACAAATACTGAAGAAGAAGAAGATGAAAAGTAGGTATGAAGAATGGAGGCAATACAAACCCACCAAGTCATTACTTGCCTTTGTACTACCTAGATTCAATAGAGACAATGTGGACTTTGTTGGTTCCACTAATTGTGGTGGCTAACGTGGGTATGTTCGTTCCTATCATGTTCGTGAACAATTTCCCTAAAAATAATTTTGGTTTTGAAGGGGGTTGTGTTGCCAAATTTCTCGATAGATTCTCATTCGAGCCTCTCAGGGGAAACCCTCTCTTCAGCCCCTCTTCTTCTACATAATGTTTTCTTACCTACCCATTTTGGAAAACTATGTTAATTGTTGTTATTTTGAATCTGGTTTTGGTGTGATTCATTGATATGCTCATCAACTTTTGTTGAAATTTCTAGTTAAGAGAATCCATTCCAATTGCAGATTGAAGAGAGAGAAGATTTGTAGAGACATAAAGTGGAGAAGGAGATTGAAGAGAGATAGAAGGTTTGTGAGTTTGTAGAGAGAAAGAGAGGAGAAGAAACAATAATGTTGATGATAATGGTGAGTTTTTGTGGGGTGGATTAGAGTTTTGGAGTGAAGAAAAAGATGAAGGGAAAATAATTGAAACTTAAGGAAGAAGACGAAAATGTTTGAATATGAAGAATACATATAAGTGATTAGGGTATACCATGAGGGGGGGAGGGGGGAAAAAGAAAGAAAAAAAAGTTAGAGTTTAATGTGTATTGTCCTGATTAGTAAATTTATATTAGGGTATATATACTCTAATAGAAAATTTAAAATTTTAGTTTCTATTATATAATAAAATCTAAAATTTCAAAATTTTAGTTAAATGTACTGAGTTACTATTTGGATATAAATAATCACCTTATTTGACTTTAGTAGAATAAATTTATAAAGAAAAAAAAAAAAAGGGCAGATCACAGCTCTTTTCATTCAAATATTTTAGGCATATAATACATGTATCTGAACATTAATAAAAGGTGGAAAATGAGGTGAATTATTGGTCTATGAAGATTGGCTCCTTCTAAAGGTGAACTATGCAGATTTCTGAAGTCACCAAACAAAATTTTGCAGCGAATCAATAATCAAGATGATCTGGATGTATAGCATAAAGTAAACAAAATAAAATTGTAGTAATCTACTTAAACTATTTGGCAAAATATATCAAGATTGACCAATAGAAAATCCAATCATATAGTTTATTTCAGTACAAAACTAGCTTTTGAAACTAACTGCATTAACATTAGCAATGGTTTAATAGCTAATCACAGCAAAACAAATTTTTTATTTTGGTTTTGGTTGTGGTCAATGAAACAATTCTATATGTATAACTACTGGTTCTTGAGTGAATTGCTCATAGTGTTACTCTTGCACAAAAAAAACTGTATGTGCAGTAGGCAGGATCCTAAGCAGAATATATGTATTAACCTTTTACTTATTCTGTAATTAGATCGTAAACTTTTAAAGATATAGAACCAGAAAAAAGCAACAAGTACCAGAGAGTATAATACATTCAGATAACTAACAAATTAAAATCACTAAAACTAAGAATGAGCATAACAAACCTGAAAGCATAATCCATGTTTGCTAATTTCTTCTTCCACCTTGTCTCAACATTTTCAGCGTTTTATGCTTTTTCCTTTCAACAATTCTTACAAACAATTTTGGTTTTCCAGTTAAGAACATGAGAAATCCAATAACCAATCCAAATGCTAGTCCACAGCCATACCCCATCACCACGGCTTCCCAAGTAAATCCACCTATAAAATTTGAGTCATCTTCCTGTTGTAATAGCACCCCTGGCAGAACTTGTGACTGATTATCTTTACATTCCTTTGACAATGGAAACCCACATAATCCTGAGTTCCCAACATATGAATCATTTCCAAATGTATCAAATTGTTTCCCCCGAGGTATGGGTCCATCGAGATGGTTCCATGAAAGGTTAAAGACCTCAAGAAATGTCAAACTCAATAAATGGTTAGGAATTTTCCCAATAAGCTGGTTTGAAGACAGATCTAGTGATTCCAGCTCTGTCAAGTCTCCTAAAGATGATGGAATAGGGCCTGTAAGGCTATTATGAGATAAATTAAGCACTATGAGAGAATTAAGCCTTCCGATCACATTTGGAATATCTCCACTGAATTTGTTAGATGATAAATCAATTACTGTGAAGACAGTCAAAATTCTCGTTAAATAAATATCAGACCCCTTCATCGTCACCGTAACAGAATATTTATAATACGATCGAACAGTCAAATATTTTTCACTTGGCATAGTTTTATTCCTCATATTTTTGAAAAAATTGAAATATCTCCCTGGCAAATGACCAGTGAACTTATTGTGGGAGAGGTCAACAATTCGGAGTTCAAGGAAAGAGAGTTTTGGCTTGGAAGTGTCTATTGGACCATGAAAATTGTTGGATCGCAAGATAAGAACCTGTAAATTTGGAAGAGTCCCCAACCAGTACGGAAAAGTGTCATTTATCTTGTTGTTTCCGAGGTCTAGAACTTGTAATTGTCTACAGTTGGCTAAGGATTGTGGAACTGGTCCTTCAAATTGATTTCCATTCAATTTAAGACTTTGCAACCCATTATCTTTTCCAAATACTGAGAGAAAATTACTGAAGTATCCCAAACATTGTGGAATTGCACCACTCAAGTGGTTGTGAGACAAATCAAGGATGTAAAGGGAACTCACATTGCAAATTGAAGAAGGAATCTGTCCGGTGAGTTTATTTTGTGAGAAGAGGAAGTAAGATACAGAGGGTGGCGGAACTGGGAGTGGTCCTTGAATCAAGTTGAAACCAAGATCAAGATAATCAAGGTTTTTTAGATTTGAAAATGTTTGTAGCTCTACAACACCACTCAAATGATTTGACGAAAGATCAAGTCGGTTCAAATTCACAAGATTTGAAATTGATTGTGGAATGGGTCCACGTAGTTCATTATGATTCAAGTCAATGTGCATCAATTTTGATTTATGCTGGAACTCAGGAATTTGGCCAGTTAGTCGATTACTACCCAGGTATAAGTCTGTCAATGATGGAAGATTCAACAACGAAGATGGTAGTGTCCCATTCAGTGAGTTATTGTGCAAGTAAAGTGTTTGTAGGTTGTGTAGCCCACTAATGTTGGAGGGAATGGGACCCATTAGTTCACTACTTGATAAAACTAAAGCAACAAGTTTTGTCAGGTTGGCTACCCCACATGGAAATGGACCATTAAAATTGTTATCTCCAAGTCCTAAAAACTCCAGCTTTATCAGCTTACCGATAAAATTAGGAATTTTTCCATGGAGATTATTTCTAGAAAGATCCAAGGAAATGAGCTGATTAAGATTTGAGAGAGTAAATGGGATCTGACCGTTGAAACTATTTCCCCAGAAGGATATAGAATTGATCTGTGTAAGGTTCCCGAGTGATTCAGGAATGGACCCGGAGAATTCGCAACGACGGAGATCCAAGTGAATGAGTTGATTAAGATTTGAGAGAGTAAATGGAATCTGACCGTTGAAACTATTTCCCCCTAAGTATATAGCAGTGATCTGTGTAAGGTTTCCAAATGAATCAGGAATGGACCCGGAGAATTTGGAATTGGCAAGATGCAAGAAATTCAATGACCTGAGATAGCCAATTGAATCAGGTAATTCTCCAGAAAAACTCGAAAACCCGAGATACAACTGCTGGAGGGAACTACTACTACTCCATTTTGCTTTGGGTAAATTACCAGTGAGATCATGGTTGTCTCCTAAAAAGAGAACTTGCAAGTTTGGAAAGTGAAAAATGCTATCCAGTAATTTCCCATACAACCCAGTGGAAATAAGATCGAGATATGTCAAAGAAGACATATTGGTCAAAGAAATCGGTACAACTGAAGATATGTTTACATAAGAAAGGGCAAGTTTTTGCAATTGGGTTAGGTTTTTGAGCATCATTCTGAAATTGTGTGGTTCAAGTCTTAGTTGATCATCATAAAAGGTTGAGAGATCAAGTGAAACTAGTTTGGACAGGTGGTGAATTTCTGATGGGATTGAGCCTGAAAAACTGGAACGAGATAGGTTGAGATGTGTCAAACTAGCAAAGTGGCCAAATGCTGATGGAATGTGGGAGTAATTGAAGTGATTGAAGGCGAGATTGAGGTGTTGGAGGTGAGAGAGTTGGAAGAGGCTACTGTTAGGATGGATACTGCCATAGAGCTGGCTACAACTGAGGTCAAGCCCAATCACGTGACCCGTCAGACCATCACACGTGACTCCTTCCCACGAACAACAATCAGTACAACTCTCGTTCCAAGATAACATCTTTGGAGAAGCCAAATCACCGCAGAAAGAAGAATTAGATGCAGAGCTGTTTATAGTAAACATACGCTTGAATTGCAACAATGCAAACCTCTGGTCAGGTGGACACAAATGATGTGTACAAGTAGAAAAAGAAGAGATAGATGATGAACAAAAAACCTGATGATATTGCATGAAATACCAAAGGAATTGGAACAACCATATCAATCGCTCCATTTTTATTTTTTTTTGGTTTTGTTTTGTTCTGAAATAGGAGAAACAAGTACGAGGGTTAAGAGAAAAGAAAGATAACAGGAAGTGGGTACTGATTTATTAGTCTAATTCATCCCTTTATATAGGAAAATTTTTAAGATAAATTACTAATAAATCCTAATAATTAGATTTAATTTCTATTAAGTCCTATTGAAAGTTAATTCAAATTGTCGTTAAAAATTGACAATTAGTAATATTTTTTTGGTCACGATTTTTATAAATTATCATTAGAACTTGCAATTAGCAACGTTTTCCTCTGATGAATTTTTCAAACTGTTGCTAAAAGTTGAAAATGAATGATTTTTTTTGTGACAATTTTTTTAAATTGTCGTTAAAATTTATAATTAGTAACGTTTTTGTGACAAAATTTTCAAACTCTTACTAAAAATTAACAATTAGTGATGTTTTTAATAGTGTTTGATGAAAAACGCATTTAATTATCACATGACTTATTTGATAATAAGTCCATTTAATATGACCTATACAGAAGTCCACCAAAATTTTATGGTAGGTTCTTTGTTAAAAGATGTGTATTACATGCTGTTATTAGCATTTGTAGTATTAATTATGAATTATGTCAGTGTTTGGTTATGAGATTTTGTTAGTAGTAAGAGATTACTATTCAAGATTAAAAATTAGATCCATTTTCAAATTCAATAATGTGATAAATAATTAAGCTATTAAACAAAACATTCTCTCTTACATATTTTATAATTATCAACTAGTCATATCACTTGCATATCATTGCGTCTAGAAAATAGATCTAAAAAGAATTTGTATATCATTTTTCTAATATTAATTATGAATGGAGAGAATCAAAGTTTGTCAAGTGCAAACATCATAACTGGGGCATATAATAAGAGGGTGGTTGTGAAATATGAGAGTTGTACACATCATGGGAAAACAAGTTGCATTGAGGACATGGAACAGTAAGAACTACAGATGTCATACTTGAAGATTTCAATATCGTTGTGAAAGTTTAAAGCGACTAGTTTTGATTTACTTTGGTAATTTAAATCTAATTGTTCATCTTATATAATTAATTGAAAAAATTATCTATATATGCAAAATATTAAATTCAACCAATATAGATTGTTATATCATCAGATCATTTTTTTATTTATACAGTGTACATGTTTTTAAGAATTGATCATTCATTTGTTATATATATATATATATATATGATTTGATCATGTGAATACTTATGTTTGTTTATTCTAATTTTTTGCATGCATGTTTATTTTAATTTGTTATGTGTGATGAATGGTTTAGATTAGGAGATAGATTTTAGCTTTAACAAATTTGACTCAACAAACTACTATAGTAAATCACATGTTTAAAATTATGGTTGGGTAAGGATAGAGTTGAGCTATTTGGGTAAAAATAGCCAATAAAGACAAAATAGGTTAAAATAGTTAGAAAGACAAAATGTCACATTCAGCCAATAATTGTTTCACTTTTTCTCTCACTACCATCAAATCAACTACAAAAAAAAAAAAAAAAAAAAAAAAAAAAAAAAAACTATTTTCCCAAACAAGGCTATTATTAGTATTTAGAACTTGCTTGATTGGGTGAATTATAGGATAGGGTTGGAATTGTTAATCTGTAACACTCACATTCTAGTGTTTGGTTGTAATTTTTGTTATTCGGATTAGATTTCAATACATGTCATATCCAACAAAATTGGTGAGTTTTCTAATTATACAACTATAATACTACAAACTAAACGTATAATTTAGATTACATATGCTTTTATATTCATTGCAAAATAAATATGGACAAAAGGAATTATATATCGTACTAATCCATATAAATAACAAATTCCACACTAATTCAATAAATTATCAATCATCTCACTATTAATCTTGCTAGTTAAACATGATATATATATGATGCTTTCCCTCCTAAGGACACCTTCCACGAAATAAATTAATAGAAAAAAATTTAAAATTATTTTAAATCGCTAAATTCATCATATTTGAACAAAAGTGTATTGTGTTTCAAAATATGACATAAATCATCTAATAATGTTGAGCTAAAAGCCCACCAATTTTTATTTAGTTTTAATTAATGGAAATTCAGTGTTTGGGGCTGAAATTTTATGTAATCCAATGACCTACGGCCTACACATGATGAGCAAGAGTTGTCAATAAATAAAGGGTTAATTACACTTTTTAGCATTATAGTTTGATTCAAATTTTTACTTTAATTCTTGTAGTTTTAAATTGAGTAATTTGATCCTTAATAACATTTCGAATCTAGTTTCAGTATGATACTTTCGATCAAGTTGAATTAAAGTTAACAATTGTAGAACACTTGTAAGTCTCCTGAGATGTACACATAAGAAAATTTAATATTTTAAAGTATATCAACCAAATTATTTAGTTTGAAATTACAAGAAGCAAAATGAAATTTGAATCAAAGTATAATTAGTAAAAGTATAATTATCCCATAAATAGATATAAATGAATGAAACAGTGCAGGCAAAAGCTGTTTGAATCTTATGGACATTGACTTTATTATTATTATTATTATGGGTATTCTATATATATTGTTTGATATCTTCTTTTTGCATTAAAAAAAGAAAATAATGACTGTTTTTGAAATTTTCATTATTTGTTCACTAAAAGAAATTTTTATTAACTTTAGTTTTTCATTGAACACATTTTAAAGGCGAAATCAAACGGATTATTTTCTTAATTTCCTTTTTTAAAATCTATCAAAAAAGATTTACATTGAATATAAAATTGGAAAATAAATAAAATTTTGAAATTTAGCGTAATAATTAGATTTAACTATTCGGAACAATTAGATGTAATCTTTTGGTTATTTACCTATTAAATCCTTTTCTTTTTCATTTATTTTTATTTTATTTATATTTATTTTTTTTTTGGTATATTGCATTGGCCAATTAAAATTACACACAACTTAATAATTTTACTTGGACTTACTATTTGATTATAACATTTTGTGGTGTTTGGTTATAAATCAGAGTGGATTTGGTTATAAGATTTTGTCTTGTTTTGTTTTGAACAGAAGTAACTTTGGTTATGAGATTTTCATTGTATTTGTTTAGTGAACCAATTTAATTTTGCTTTACATCACTCATCTCATAATTAGTGTCATGTTGTGTCGTAAAAGAAGACAGAAAGTGAAGAGTCTCACTATTTTAACTAATACAATTTAAATAGAAATACCACATATATTTGTTTGTGTAACAAATTATAATTTCCCCCTTCACCTTGGACATTTTAAAGGATATTGGTTTGGCTAACTCTTAACTAATACCAATTTCTCATCCAAAATTGAAGACCAAACTATCCAAAACTAGAGACCAAACTATACTCCAAATTGGAGATGACCAAGAAGACCTGTCCTTCTTGAGCTGCATTGAAAAGTCTAGCTCATGGAAAAAGATTTTCAAGACGAGCGTTACATGCGTAAAAAATCCATTCAACAATCAATAAAATAATTGAGGCGTTAATTGCGTAAAAAATCCATTCAACAATCAATAAAATAATTGAGGAAGCAATTCCAAAGGAAGGACTCATCAAGAAAATATGGTGTTTTAGGTTCCATTCAATAAATAAATAAATATTGAATATAATGGTGATATTATGTGATAGTGTCACTATCTAACCAGTAATTTCACTTATTGTAGAGACCACAATATGGTTGGACTAGACTTGTCTACTTAATCTCATTTATGATTTTCTATTGCTTGAACAACACTTAAGATGTGAAACTTGAGCCAAAACGGGTAATTTGAAAATAAAATGGACTTGACTACATACAATTATTGATAAATTATGCAAATGATCCCTGTAATTTACATGATGTGTCAATTTGGTCTTTATTGTTTTAACTTGCTCGATTTTACTCCTTAATTTAATAGATTGTGTCATATTGGTCCAATAAATAACGGCCGTTAGGCTTGGTGGATAGAAAGTCATCACGTGCTTACAAGATGTGTCAATTTGGTCCTTACAGGTTACACAATGTATCAATTTGGTCATTGTAGTTTACTTGATATGTCAATTTGGTCCCTATTATTTTAATTTGCTCGATTTTGACAGGGAATAAATTGACACATCGTGTAAATTACAGGGATCAAATTGACACATCGTTTGAGTTTCTGTCCACCAAACGTAACGGCCGTTATTTATTGAACAATATAACACAATCCGTTAAATTAAGGGGCAAAATCGATCAAATTAAAATAAGGACTAAATTGACACATCATGTAAACTACGTGGACCATTTGTGTAATTTACCCTACATTTATATATCATTTGGTTTCTTATAAAGGAAAAAAAAATAAAGAGATAGAAAGGGAAAAGATAAATGAAAAAAGTAAGACCAAAATATAAACTAATTCTGACTCATTTGATAAGTTTTCATTGGTTCTATTATAAAGCACATTTAACGCCAATCATAACCTACAATGCGAATTACAAGGACATCAATAAATAAAGGGATAATTGAACTTCTAATCTTTATAACTTTATTTAAATTTTATTTTGATTCTTATAATTTTAAATTAAATAGTTTCATCCTATAATTTAAATTTGGTTTTAGTTTGATTGTTTTGCTCAAATTGGAGATTAAAATTAACTATTTTGGAACATTTGTTAATCTCTTAAGGTATACACATAAAAAAAAAATTAATGAAAATTTAGATGGAATAATTAAATTGAATATCATTTAAAGAACAAAGATTAAATTGTTATATTTGAATCCATAGAAATCAAAATTTGAAACAAATAATTAGAAAGTTAACCATCATCAAACCTAATAGCTACACAACTAACCAATAAATAAATATAAATGACTGAAACATATGGTACAGGCGAGGCTATTTTGTTTTAGGAACAGAAAATATATAATATATTTAAGTAATAATAGTAGCATGTTTTTGTCAATTCGTGCACAGTTCTAGAAACTTCAGAGATACAAGCATCGCTAAATGAGGCAAATTACCTCTGGCCTAAAATTTGGACTAAAAAATATTGTTTGGGTCCGTGAGGC